CTGGAGACAAGCTTAGACCTAAATTCATGTAGAGTTAATATCTGTGACACTGATACAGCACCAGAGAACACAGTTCAAAGGAGGAAATGAACCACGAGTATCCTGTTGGTACAGAAGTACTCCTTAGCTTTGCTTTTGCTATTTGGCAGCTCTTCCCCATGAGACTAAATTTGAGAATAAATTCGCTGTTCTGTTTCACTGAAATTCTCAGATAACTGGCAGACAGCAACTGCTTGTTTTCTGAATTCAGAAAAATGTATTTGAAATAATTCTTGCCTTTTTTWAAAAAGGAAATCCTTAGCCATTCTTTTATTGAAATACTACTAGATACAAAATTAATTGTTGAGGTTAATACAAGGGCAGAGGGTGTAAAGACTATGAAGTACTGTCAGTGGTATTATATAAAAGGAGACACAAATACATTTATTTTGTTGTCAGTGTTGTGTATATTGAAGYTTTCTGTTTGCATTTCTTTATAAGCTATAAACATGTGACTTTTTCCCTTTTAATATATGTTCAAGGGAGCAAGTGTTGGATGCTTCAGCAGCAGAAGGTTTTCAGGCTAGTCAGGACTTGAATGTGGAGCCGTGAAAAGCTCTGGGACTGGGTATTGCAAAGGTGAATAATGTATCTTTAGCCTTCCTATGTTGTGGATGTCCTGTAGTCTGTCAGTATTTCCAAGGGAATCTCTCCTGCTCTCTGTGCTGTTTTCCATGCTGATACAAGTGCTTCTGTGGCTTTGCMGTGGGCTGGAGAGTGAGGAATGTGGTTTTAAAACTGAATTTAAAGCATAAATCTAGTTTTGTTCCCTCTTCATGTGAACCGAGAAGTAGTGAGAGCAAATTAATAAATGAAAGGTGAAACTGCTGCTTTTGGCAGGGTTGTGGGACCACACTGGTTCAGGGATGGTAAAAATACACAGTGTAAGCACAAACTGAGTTTTGGTATGTGTGGAATATGTACCACAGAATTATACCAAATATGGGATCAGAATGTACTTACAAGGGAAGATTTACTCAAGTCTGACTCCCCTTCTGCAGCTTTATTGTTTAGTGAGCAAAGTTGTGCTGTTTGACTCACTAGAGCTATGGAAACAACTGAACTGCAGCATCTCATCTGTTTATAGCCAAGTCTGTCATTTGGGATGGTTTTCATCCAAAAATGATGAGGTGTGCCGTAGTACATCTGTTAGTAATAGACAAGGAAAGCAAAGTAAAATCACTCCTTTTTGTCCAGGGGAAATATTACTGGTGAAAATTAGGAGTTGTTCAGTGTGTAGTCTTTTGGGAGGTGGTTTGCATAGATACAGAGAAGTATTTAAGTTTTATGATGGCTTGTATTTGGATAGCATTGTAGAAAAAAAAAACAGCTACATGCAGCACTTTCTATGTCAGCTAGTAGAGACCTTAATTTTAAGGATGGCTTCCTTGAATTGAAATCAAGCTTTCCAATGTGCAGGTCAAAATTTAGAGTTCTTATGCCAGTAACASAGGTGTCATTTATTCTTTGCCACTGTCTAGGCTGGATTTTTAAAAAACAACTAAACCAAAATAAACATAAACCAAAAAAGCTTGTGTAACAAGCTGTCTGACAGATAGTTCAAAGCTTCTTGCTGATCTCTGAAGTAGACAAGTACTTGTAGTAGTAATACAAGTAGTACAAGACTTGTAGAAGGTAGGAACTTGCCACAGTGGACTGTGGGAGAGAGCATGTGTGGTCTTGCTCTCCAGACAGCCCTAAATCCAGGCAGAGGAGAGGCTTTCATTATATATCCATGGGAAAAGCTTAATTGGGGTTTGCAGCTCGTTGTATACCAAACTCTTCCAGTGTTTGATGTAAATCGTAGGAAACTGGCTTTGATAATTAAGGTGCCCATAGCCTRTGCTAGCACCACTCCCTTATTTGCAAGGAATAGTGCTATCAGCTGAGATGRTTATCCCAGGAGGTTTCATAATGCAGCTTGTCCCGGGACTGCTGGGACTGAGAATCATTTGGAAAAATTATAGAAGTGCTCATTCCACTTGCTGGTCTGATGAACATCTGGAGAACTTCCACAGTGCCCCATAGATCCACATATAGTCAGGATGCTCTCRGAAATGATTGTTCTGTCTCCATGAAATTGATTTTTCCTAATTTATTAGTTGTAAATAGCATTTGTTCCAGGCTTTTTGGTGAGTGAAGGGAGAATTGCAGCTGCAGGTTCTTCTGGTAGTACTGGTCTTCTTGTGAAGCAAAAAGCTGTGTGCAAATGTGCTGGTCCTGGAGCCAGAATGCAAGGGAGAAAGAAGGGAAATGGCTCCTGCTTGTTGAGAGGCTTTGTGAGAAGAAGTGTTTGGTGATGGGGACTTTGTAGCCTCAGTCCTTGTCCCTTCTCCATGTGTGATCCCATCCTGTCACTGCTCAGTGGAAGAGTTCAGAGCAATGGAGAGGAGAGGGCAGGTTTTGTTGTAGTTCCTTGTGCCTGTTCTTAGGAAAACTGACTCAGCAAGGTGTGGGCAGCTATTCCTCCTCTTGGATGTGGAATTCCTCTGTGTCCTGTTGGAAAAGCAGGGATGGGCCAAGGATGGGGGGATTCTGCCTCAGGAGCAGGGCACAGAGGGTGGGTGGGAGCAATGCTGCCAGGGCTAGCAGGATCCCAGGGCATTACTGCCAGGGCACTGGGTATGGTAGGGAAGGAAAGGTGTGGCTGCAGTGTTATGGGGAGGGTTGGTTTGTGGGGAACAAGTTGAGAGGCCTGGCTTAGGAAAAATGAAAGCGTCTGCTGGCTGTGGAAAGACAMAACTTCTCATACCCTTCTCCCCTCCCACCCCAAAACACACATAGATATGTCTAGGAATTGTCCCAGCTCATTCTGGGATCAAAATAAAACTTGCAGGTCTATAATTAAAGCATAACAAATCATAAAACTACCASTCAATTCCTTTTGTGGAAAGGAAATTCAGAAACGGGCTCAAGGAAAACCTTTATGAAAATTTGTCAGTGCTAATCAGGATGAATGAGTTCAGCTTTCATTTGGCTTGTATTTTCTTCCTATTTAATATTTTCAAGATGTTWTTTAAACTTGAGCTTTGTTTCTGTCTCTCTTTTAAAAGTAATTAAATCCCACAGAAACCTGAAATGGACTTGCCTTCCCCAGTTAAAATTGTTTAGTTGTTAAAATTGTGAACAGGAGGGAAAAAAATCCCAAACAATAAGACTCCACTTGTCTGTTTTTAACTTTCAGTGGAACTACTTTAATTTAGCTTAACAGTTGGACAAATATAAGAAAAATTAATAATTACAGGGGTTAAAGCTAGCAATGGTGATATACAGTAGTTATATATTATTTCTGAGGGAATTGTTACTTTTTTAAGTTTTCAGATAAAAATACTTGTAKAAAGAATGTTGTCTTCAGGCAAGTTAAAACTTGCTGGCATGTTCCTGATAATAGTGTCTTTGAAAGAAAGCATGTGCATATATCCAGGGAGATTCAAGTGGAGAATCAAATAACTCCTATTTTAAGTGCTGGTATTTARGCTGCCTGTGGAACATATTGATGATTCTTTCTAGGGATTGGTCTCATGTGATGAGGATCCTCTGTGCTGCATTTCTCTGAGTTAATAATAAATTTCAAGGTACAAGTAGGCCTGGCATCAAATAATARTGATTTACTCCTGTTTTTGTGCTGTGTTAGGGAATCTCCTTTAATATTCCAGAAAAAGTAGTATTCCCTATGAAAATGGGAGTGAGAGGACAAGTTCAGCTGAAAGTCTCAGCCTTTTGTGTGGCTTTAGTATCATGTGTTAAATACGCATTTTTT